AAATTAGTTCAACCATTGTGGAAGACAGTATGGTGACTCTTCAAGAACCTAGAAATACAAATTCCATTTGACCCAGCAATCTCATTACTGGGTATATATCCAAAGGATTATAAATCATTCTAATATAAAGACAAATGCACATGTATGTTCATTGCGGCACTGTTTACAATAGCAAAGACCTGGAATCAACCCCATGCCCATCGATGATAGATTGGATAAGGAAAATGTGGCACATATACACCATGGAATACTATGCAGTCATAAAAAAAGTATGAGTTTGTGTCCTTTGTAGGGATATGGATGAATCTGGAAACCATCATTATCAGCAAACTGACACAAGATCAGAAAATCAAACACTGCAAGTTCTCACTCATAGGTGGGTGTTGAACAATGAGAATACATGGACACAGGGAGGGGAGTGTCACACACTGGGGTCTGGGGTCTGTTGTGGGGGAATAGGGGACGGACAGCGGGTGCTAGGGAGGTTGGGAAGGTATAACATGGGGAGAAATGCCAGATGTAGATGACAGGGAGATGGAGGGAGCAAACCACATTGCCATGTATGTACCTACACAACAATCCTGCATGTTCTACACATGTACTCTAGAACCTAAAGTGCAATTATATATATATTTAAAAAAAAAAAAAAGATTTAACTTTTCGGCTGGATTTCCGAAAATCCAGCTAAAGCATTGCTTAGAGGGACATTTATAGCACTAGATCTGAAAATCGGCTGGATTTCAGCTAGCCTTCAGCCCCTTTGTTTTGGCCAGTTTCTCCTATTTGGAATGGCTACATTTACCCAATTCCTATACCTTTATTTATCTAGGAAATACTTTGCTTTTGATTTTACAGGCTCATAGGTGGAAAGGACTTGCTCTGTCTTAGATGAGATGTTGGGACTGTCGACTTTGAGTTAATGCTGGAATGAGTTAAGACTTTGGGGGACTGCTGGAAGGCATGATTGGTTTTGAAATGTGAAGACATGAGATTTGGGAGGAACCAGGGGCAGAATGATATGGTTTGGCTGTGTTCCCTCCCAAATCTCACGCTGAATTGTAGCTCCCATAATTCTTACACGTCATGGGAAGAACCCAGTGGGAGGTGACTGAATTATGGGGGAAGGTCTTTCCTGCACTGTTCTTGTGATAATGAATGAGTCTCATGAGATCTGATCATTTTAAAAATGGGAGTTTTCCCTGCACAAGCTCTCTTCTCTTGCCTGCCACCATGTGAGATGTGCCTTTCACCTTCCACCATGATTGTGAAACCTCCCCAGCCACGTGGAACTGTAAGTACGATAAACCATTCTTTTGTAGATTGCCCTCTCTCAGGTATGTCTTCATCAGCAGTGTGAGAACAAACTAATACAGGAAGACAGTAAAAAGAAAAGAAGAAACAAAAAAAGAGAGAAAACAAAGAGAAAAAGATAAAGCAGTGGACCAAAGGCTTGAGGCTCCTCTCCAGTTTCTGCCCACTTCTGAATGCTCTGCTGTGCCTTCAAGTAGTTGCTTTTTATTTTGCCCAGGGTTTACACTTGCTATCTCTGGGTGGGTTGGTCCAAGGCGAGCTGACTCAGCCATTACTGGAAGTGGTGTCTCATTAGTTAGTTTTAGCAACAATGCTTTTTATTCATAACGAGGTTCAAATTTATTAAAGAAGAACTCCTACATAAACAGCATGAGTATCTATACAGCTATTAAATATGTTCCATAACTCTCAATTTGGAAATCTGACATAAATTTGTTTCATAAAGTAAATTTCATGATTTTGATATATTATTCAAAATAAAATTCCATCCTTTATGTTCTCATATATGAGAACAAGGAAAAAGTATCAAACCAGATGTATGAAAAAGAAAGCAATTCAGCTCTTCTTGGTCACTGAGGACCCCTACTGACTCATTTGTGGCAATGATTTTGTGCAGTATGTATTACAGAAGTGAGAGAGGATCACTATCATAAGTTCATTTATTTACCCCAAGTTCAGATGAAATAAAGGCACTTCCTTCATGCTGGGTGTTAGTACTATACTCAGCATGAGCAAAATCAAGCCCACATCAACTCCTCCAAACCTGGTCCTCTTCCAGTGTTCCCCATCTCGTCGAATGTTGCCACCATCCATCCAGATGTGGACGTCAGAGTGTTGGTGTCATGCCTATACCCCACTTCCCTTCCCCCTTCCATATCCAATCCATCACCGAATTTTGTTGATTTTTACTCCCAAATAACTTTGTTCCCATCTTTCATTTCCACCTCCACTTCTCTAAGTTATCATCACCACCTCTCATCCACTCTTCAAAAGTACTTACTATGCTCTTTCTATGTATAATATCATGTTCTTTCTATGCATAACATCATTCTGATAACTTCCCTTACATTAACTCATTTAATCTCACATCAGCTGTTATCAGCTCAAGCAGCACTGCCTTCTCAGGAAGGAGCTTTGACTACTGATTTGAGAACTCTTTTTTAATGTAAGCATCTAGTGCTATAAACGTCCTTCTAAGCAATGCTTTACCTAACATCCCACAAATCATGATATGCTGCATTTTCATTTTTTGTTCAGTTCAAAATATTTTCTAATTTCCCTTGAAATTTCCTTTTAACCCTTTGATTATTTAGAAGTTTTAAAATTTCCAAGTATTTAAGTATTTTTCCATTTATTTTTCTGTTACTGATTTCTAATTTAATTTCATGCAATCAAGGATCATATGTTGTATGATTCCAATTCTTTTAAATTTGACTAGGTTTGTTTTCTGATCTAGAACCATCTATCTAGGTGAATATTCCATATGTATTTAAGAGAATGTGTAGTATTTTACTATTTGAGGTAAAGTATTATGTGAATATCAATTTAATCTAATTTGTTGATATTTTAGTTCTCTTACATCCTTACTAATTTTATCTGCTTGTTCTATATTACTGAGAGAAAGGTGTTACACTCTCCAACTATAATGGAGGCCCCAACTATAACTGTAGCTTTGCTGGTTTCTCTTTTCAGGTCTAACCATTTTTTATTTCATGCATGTTAAATTTTTGATATTAAGTACATACCCACTTAGGATTATTATGTCTTCTTGGTGAACCATCTGTTTTATCACTATGTAGTGCCTGAAGTCTACTTTGTCTGATATTATAATCTTTTGAATGGTATATCTTTTCCCATCCTTTTCTCTTAAGTTACCTATAGCATTATATTTAAGGTGGGTTTCTTATACATAATATATAGGTGGATCTCTTTCACTGTGGTTTTCATTTGCATTTCCCTGATGACTTCTTACATGTTGAGTATCTTTTCTGACTTCTAGTGGTTTTTCATATTACTTTTTTGAAGGGGCTGTTCAAGTTTTTTGTCCCTTTAAAAACTGAGTTATCTTTTTATTTCTTAGATATCTTTGACTTGTTCTTGGTCTTAGGAAAAAAGTGTTCAACATTTCACAGTTAACTATGATAATTCTACTTTTAGATTTTCCTTGTTGCATTTTACCAATCTGAGGACTCTCCCTTCTATTCCTAGTTTGTAGAGAATTTTTAAAAACTCATAAATGGGTGTTAAAATTTGTCAGATACTTTTTCCATATCTCTTAAGATGACCATATGATTTTTCTTTTGACAAATTATAATGATTGATTTTCAAATGTTAAATGTGGTTACCCAGGTATGTACATTTGAATTCCTGAAATAAACTCCAGTTGGTCATGATATAATGTCCTTTTTATATACTGGTAGATTCAATTTAATAATATTTTGTTAAAAATTTACTTTCTACATTTATGAAGGATACTATATGGTAATTTTCCTTTCTTGTAATATCTTGTCATATTTTGGGGTCATGTTTTTCTGGTCTTACAAAATGAGTTGGGAAACACTTCTCCTTCATCTATTCCTTGGGAGAATTTGTGTAAGATTGGTATTATTTCTTTTTTAAATGTTTGAAAAACTTCGCAAGTGAAGCCAGCTAGACCTGAAGTTTGTGGGAAGATTTTTGTGAGTAGATTTTTTTAAATTACAGTTTTAACTCCTTAACAGAGGTTATTCACATTTTATATTTCTTCTTACGCTAGTTCCAGTAAATTTTGGTTCTCTAGGAATTTATCTATTTCATCAATGTTGTCAAATTTACTGATAAAGTTGTTTATAATATCTCCATATTGGACTCTTAATGTCTGCAGGATCTGTGATAATGTCTCTATTCCCATGACAGATGTTAATAGTTTGTTTTCTTTTGCTTTTTTTTTTTTTTTTGAGATGGGGTCTTGCTCTGTCACCCAGACTAGAGTACATTGGTGCCATCTTGGCTCACTACAACCTCCACCTTCCAGATTCAAACAATTCTCCTGCCTTACTCTCCTGAGTAGCTGGGATCACAGGCATCCACCACCACACTACCCTAATTTTTGTATTTTTAGTAGAGATGGGGTTTCACCATACTGTCCAGGTTGGTCTCAAACTCCTGACCTCAGGTGATCTGCCCACCTTAGTCTCCCAAAGTGCTGGGATTACAGGTGTGAGTCACCGTGCCCAGCCTTCTTTTACTTTTTTTAAACATGTCTTGATCAGTCTCACTGTGCGTCTTTCAGTTTTATTAATGACTTCAAAGAATCAACTTTTGTCTTTTTTATATTTTCTCTTTGGTTCATCTGTTTTCTATTTCATTAATTTCTACTCTCATCTGTATTATTTCCTACTTTCTATTTTCTTCAGGTTTAACTCACTCTTTTTCTAGCCTCTTGATTTGCTAGCTTAGATCACTGACTTTAAATCTTTCTTTTCTCTTTTTTTCTAATATACACAATTAAAACTATAAATTTCCATCTAAGTACTTTTTAACCTGTATCTCATTAAAAATGAAATTTTTAAAGAGTCATTCAAACTTTTATTTGGTACTGGGTAAGAAATACTCTCTTAGAAATTGCAGAGGAGTTGAATGAAAAATAATCTAAGGAAATGTTTCTCCATAATCCTAGTATGAATTGATTTAATTCTTAGTAAGCTCACCTTATTACCATCAAATAGACAGAGGCGTACATGTCTGCTGAGAACCTGTATGCTCATTCCTGGAAGAGGAATCATTTTACAGCTCCATAATGTCAGAATCAATGAAATACGACTCAGTCTTGACCTAATCTGAAAGAAAAATTAGTTATAAAAAAAGTTTATTTTTCTGATTTATAACACAAATCTGTCTTTTGTAAATTCAGCTTAAGAAAATGTATACATAATTTTTAAAGAAGAAAACAAAATTTACACATATATAGGAAAAATTTCAATACATTGTTCATTGAATATTAAAACCAGTCATTTTAGGTAAATTTTTCATAGTGCTACATTTGAAATATTGGCATTTTTCTTAAATACTTAAAAACTGTGATGAAAGGAACAATAAATACTAGCAGATAAAATGTCTATGATCTGACTATAGAATCACTAGTCCCCAGGTTCACTCCTACACAATGTGGTAAGTGCAGAAGGTTAACACAGCATAAAACCAATACCACCTGGCATTAAGATATCCTACTATTTTCATTCCAAGCAATTATCTACATTGTTCTTTAGTTTCTTAATGGGTGTTTTCACAGACAGAATGTACTATTTGATATATTTATTCAGATTTACTTCATAGGTATAGTTCAGATTGTGAGTAAATAAATTGGCATTCTATTTTATTTTTAAAGAACAGCTTCAGTTAATTAAACTTTGCATTCTGCTTTATGGTCATAAGCCTTTTCATTTAAATAACTTATATTAGACAAGGATTGGTGGCTCATACTTGTAATCCTAGCACTTTGGGAGGGAAAGGAGGGCAGACTGCTCGAGTTCGGGAGTTTGAGACCAGCCTAGAAACATGGCACAACCCCATCTCTACAAAAAATACAAAAATTACTCGGGCATGGTGGTGTAGGCCTGTGGTCCCAGCTACTCAGGAGGCTGAGGTGGGAGGGTCACTTGAGCCTAGGTGTTCAAGGTTACAGTGAGCCAGGATCACACACCTGCACTTCAGCCTGGGTGACAGAGGGAGACCCTGCCTCAAAAATACTACTACTGCTGCTACTACTACTACTATACTGATAATACTGGATAGCATCTACTGAGTTCTTTTCACATGACAGGCATTATTCAAAGCCCATCACACACATAATTTTCAGAATAATTCTATGTTGGAAGCATTATTATTATTCCATTTTTACAGATGAAGAAATTGAGGCAAAGAATAATTAAGATAGAAGAAATCTAGTATTACTTCCTTTTTAACAATGACAGAAGAGGGTAATGGAGAAAAGAAACAAGATATTAAGTCAAGGTAACAAGTCCAAATTCTGTCTTAGTTGTAAAAATATCACTATTTCAAATTTATCATATAGAAACTATTGTTTTTGTTTTTTATAATGCATTAATCAATTAACATGTTGTCTGCTTGCAACCATGACAAAATCTGGAAGATTTACAGTTTTACTGATAGTAACTATACTTACAGTGCCTTCTGTAGCATCCCACATTAGATCTCTGAAGGCCAGTTGAGAAGGCATGAGCTCTGGTTGTAAGAAGTATCTTGCTCGAAATTGATTCCCTGAAAAAATCATTTTTCTTTAATTTTCTTACAAAAAAAAGAACTCAAAATCAAAAATCCATAATATTATGTTGTAGGGTACAGATACTTCCAAAATGCCACGCTGCTTACTAAAAACCTGCTTTCCAAAATAGAAGCACCAATATAGATTTATTCATAAAAACAATAGTACAAAACTTACAGATAAAACACATAAAAGATCATCTTAAAGCACTTTTAAGAAAGACTTTTAAGCCAATAACATGCCCCATGATGAAGACAATTCAAATATTTTTGTAAAACGCAGAAATCTGTAAGCACTTTTTAGAAAAAATACATAGTCATTAGTTTTACTTCTTAACACAAAAGCATTTTATACTTCTTCAACAATGTGTTTTGCCATAATAGAAAAATTAGACATAGACCTTGACTGCTTAGCTCAAAGAGTGCAGTGGCTGATAGGTACACGTTACCTTCCTCCAGAAGCTGCGAGAGTGTGGAAGGCCTGAACCCTGCAGGAATAGCTCCCATCGTGGTTAACACATCGACAGTGTTTATCTGCTGAAGATAGTAACATCAAAATAAATTTGTTTTCAGTCATGTTTCCGCACCTCTATAATACTTTCTCTTTATCACTAGAGTAACTATAACCCAAAAAAGGAAAATATAAACATATAGACTTTAGCGGAAGATTAATATGATTTAGCCCCAAATTCCTGAGAGGATGCCATCACTGAATCGGCCTCTCCTAAGGACCTAAGCCCCATACAGTGCCTAGCATGCAGAGCTCTGTGTTCCAGAGCAGCTGCTCCAAGTACTCCCTTATCAAAATGTCCCTGCTCCTGTCCTGTTCCACAGTGTGCTTCCATTTCACAGGTAAGTTAATCTCTATTGGCAAATTATACGCCCTAAAGAATTAATGGATTTTTTTTGTATATACATACACAAAACTCACACCCTCATACATACAAGCATGTCCTTGTAAGTAATAAGTAAAGAAAAAGGTCAGAAAGGATACTTGCTAAATTGTTAATGGTGATTACTTACGAGTTTGAGGAGGAGAATTTTCATTTGACTATGTAATTTTTTTTTTTTTTTTTTGAGACAGAGTCTTGCTCTGTCACCCAGGATGGAGTACAGTGGCATATTCTCTGCTCACTGCAAGCTCCGCCTCCCAGGTTCAAGTGATTATCCTGCCTCAGTCTCTCCAGTAGCTGGGACGACAGGCATGCATTACCACGCCCAGCTTATTTTTGTATTTTTAGTAGAGACAGGGTTTTGCCATGTTGACCAGGCTGGTCTTGAACTCCTGACCTCAGGTGATCCACCTGCCTTGGCTTCCCATAGTGATGGGATTACAGGCATGAGCCATTGCACCTGGCCTGTAATTTTTTTTAAATGACAGAATTATGGATCATTTCCTCCTTTTAAAAAATTTAATTACTTTCTTTTTTTTTAAGATAGGGTCTTGCTCTGTCACTCATGCTCTGGAGTGCACTGGCGCAATCACAGCTCACTACAGCCTTGACTTCCTAAGCTCAAGCAATCCTCCTATCACAGCCTCTTGAGTTGCTGGAACTACAGGCATGCGCCATCACACCTGGCTAATTTTTCTTATTCTTTGTAGAGATAGGGTCTCACTATGTTGCTCAGGCTGGTCTTGAATTCCTGGCCTCAAGTGATCCTCCTGCTTCAGCTTCCCAAAATGTTGAGATTACAGGTGTGGGTCACCATGCCTGGCCAATTTCTCAAATTGGTAATTAAAATTTAACATCTGCTTTCACTCAAATGATAGAAAAGCAGGATCAATGAGAATGTTTCCAAGCCTTCAAACGACACCACGAATAAGATTATCAATTCTTTTCGTGAAAAAAAAAAAAAAAAAAAACAACCTAATGAGTAATATTACTTGGAGCACAGGCTTATGAAACCAAAAGCATACATCCTCTGCTCTGTACATTCCTGCCCTGAACCCCCTTTCAGATCCATTGCTGTCTTCCACAGTCTCCATCCTGTTTCCTATCAGATCTATTGGGTAATAAAACAAGACATCATTAATAAGATAGAAGATACTCACCTCTGAGATCGCTTTTTGAACAGCACTCCAGTGGGAATCAGTTCTGGGAAGACAAAATAGCAAAGTGAGTCAGGTCATGATATGCCTATTCACTCAATTAGGGAGCTTCTTTAATCACAGTTTATAATCATCAGTAAGTTTTGAAAACCTAACAGTTTCCAGATGAAAACAAGATAGAACTAAATGTATTAAAAATAATTACAAAATTAAAATAGTAATGATCTTTAAGCAGACAATAGTATGAAAAGCTCTCCAGGTACAAGTTGTCTCCATTTCAAGAAAGCAATGAATTATTTATAACAGTAAAAATAAACAAAATGTTTCCTAAACCTACTCTGATATCCTTTCCCACTTTTGTACCTTTGCTTAACTTCTGCTCCATCTGCTGTTTCATCCACCACCTCTACATCTTCTTCACTGCCCTCTTCACTTGATTCTTGATCTTCTTCTTCTTTACTATAAGGCTAAAAAACCATTGAAAAGTGAAGTGCTTTTTAGCTAATGCAAAAATCAACCAATAAAAATACCAGTACTGCCACCTAACCCTCCAGTTTTTTTCTGTTTAAAAAGAAAAAACAAAAGCATCAATGCTTTCAGAAAACCTCGAGCACAGATGGGAACTTAGTATATATAATGAGCATATAAAAATTAGTGGGAAATAAATTTTCAACACATGGTTAATAACTTCACTATTCCAAAAAATAATAAGTATTGAGATAGAGAGCAAGTTTAATCAAAATAAATTACAGATAGAATTTACTCAAATAGAAAAGAAAAGAAAGAAAAAAGCATTAGAAGAAAATCATCTGGAAATGGTGAAGCCCTTTCCAATTATGATACCAAAATAAAAAAAATAAATAAGTGGATTTTTTATGACCTAACGTCCACAAAGAAAATATCTAACACATAACTTACATATATCCTGAGGGGGAAAAAAGAAAATATCTAACACAAATATCTAAAGATTAATATCCTTGTTATTAAAATATTATAAAAGCTCTTATAACTCAATGAGAGAGTTTTTAAATCCCTTAGAAAAAAAATGGCCAAAAGAAATGAAAAGGCACCAATATGTAGAAATGATAAGCACTCAAGGTGATGGAAATCTCAAATACCTTAACTTGATCATTACACAATCCATGCAACTAAAAAGCACTCACATAAATACATAAAATATTATGTATCAATAAAGAAACCAAAAGGGTCATTTGCAAAGAAGACATACAAATGGACATAAAGCATATGAGATGATGCTCAATCTCATTAGCAGTAAAATAAATGCACATAAAACCACTAATGACACTGTTTTGCTGGTCATATTAGCAAAAATTTTAAAGATTGATAAGCCATCATAGGCAAATGTCTGTGGAAACAGCACTCTCTGACTGTTAAGAGGTGAGAGTACAAATCAGCATAATTTTTCTAAAAGGCAAATTGGAAAAATAAATCAAAAATGAAGGTGTAAACCCTTTGAACCAGTGATGGTCATTTAGGAATTTACCTAAGGGATAATCAGGCAAGTGTGCAAAGATGCATGCAGACTTGATGACAACACAAGTTGCCAGTTGGCTACCACCTATTCCCTACCGCCTCCAAACAAAATCCCTGATTTTGGCAATGATCCAGTTAAAAGGCTACATTTTCCAAAACTTCCTTGCAGCTAAGTGTTGCCAGAGAACTAAGTGCTGGTCAATGAGCAACAACTGAAAGTTTTTTGTGTAACTTCCATGAAACCTTCTTAAAAAGGCAGAAGCTTATGTGTTTTGACTGCTTTCCCCTTTTGCTGCTCGGAATCCTTAAAAGATCCAGCAGCTGACTTAAAACTAAATAGATAACTCTAGGAAGAGCAGCCTCATATCAGAAACACAGTAAAATATTAGATAGGATCTTAACCAATTCTTGATTGCCTTTCTCCACACTTTTGTGCTTGAGAGAAACACGCTTCTATCTTATTTAAGCTACTTTTTTTTGGGTGGGGGATCTTTTTGTAACTGACAGAGGATGCTAATCCCATGTTCTTTGCAATATAATTGATAGTGACTATAGGTTGAAACAACTTAAATGACCATCTAAATGAGATTAGAAGACTTGCTGCCATTGAAAAAGATGATCTAGATCTGCCCTCTGTAATACTATAGCCCCTTGGCACATGTAGCTAGTGAGCTCTTGAAATTAGTCCAAATTGAGAAGTGCTATAAATGTAAAACAAACACTGGATTTTGAACTTAATGTTAAAAAAGCAAAACAGCTCAATAATTTAAAATATTGATTATATGTCAAAATACTGGATAATATAAAATATATTATTAAAAATAATTCTTCCTGTTTCTTTTTACTTTGTAAAAATATGTGTAATGAAAAAAATATGTTTGTTCTCACTGGTTCCTGGGACAGAGCTCCTGAAATCCTTTGAATTTCCTGAATGGTAGGAGTATGTTTTCTTATTCATCAGGAGTCCCTTTCAACTACTTCTGAGTTTATGCTAATTAGGTAACTCTAGGTGGGCCCTAGACAGCTTCAGGAACAGGACAGTTGCCAGAAAAACCAACCTGGGGAATTACAGGTTAGAACTTTCAGCCCCACCCTCCAACCTCAGTAGAGGGATAGGAGCTGGAGACTAAGTTAATCACCAATGGCTAATGATTTAGTTAATACAACTAATGAAATCTCCATAAAAACCCCCAAGTGATAGGGTTCCAGGAGCTTCCAGTATGGTGAACACAGCAAGGTGCTGGGAGAGTGGCAGGCCCAGAGAGGGCATGCCAGCCACCCACCATCAATACTTCAGTCTATGGCTATTCCTGAGTTATATCCTTTATAATAAACTGGTAAATGCAAGGAAAGTGTTTTCCCGAGTTCTATGAGTCATTCTAGTAAATTACTGAACTCCTGAGGTGAGGGTGTGGGAACTCGTGACTGTATAGCCAGTCAGTAAGAAGTATGGGTGGCTCTTGGGACTTGTGACTGGCAACGGAAGTGGGCTGTAGTCTTGTGGGACTGAGCCTTTAACCTATGGGGGTCTGTGCTAGCTCCAGGCATTAGTGTCAGAATCAAATTGAATTGCTGACACTGGTTGGTGTAGGAGAACTGATGTAGAAACACATATTTGGTGTCAGAGAAAATCCACATACTTGGTGTCAGAAGTGATGTCGGCGAAAAGATATCTTAATGTAGCTACTGAAAAATTTAAATTAAATGTGTGGTTTGCATCATAGTACTACTGGACAGTGCTGATCCAGACAGAAATTTACATATCTTAGCACAGAAAATGGCCATGTTATTTTATGAAATCAGAAAATACCGGCTACAAACATGCATGTATAGTATGTTCACATTTTAGTAAGGGGATCACATGTTTGTGGAAGTTAACACAAAGTTAACTATGGTTATGTTTTACAATAAACAATAGACATCTATTATTTCTTCTGATCAGCATTAATCCACAAAGCATCCTTACTGTGAGATCATGTTCTAGGGCTCACATGCATAACAGCACTTCACAGGTCCCCAGGGCCATTAATATACAATGTGTTTCCCAGGTGCTGTCCCTCCAAAATTAAAGCAAATTCTATATCTCAAGTCATTCACTAGTCAAATTTTCAAAAGAACAGAGCTAAATGTTTTATTAAAAGTGGAAAAAAAAGGCTTAGAAAAGGAAAGCACAAACCAAGACTAACCTCCAGGTAGGTTCTGGGAACGAGACCTTCATTTCCTTTGGCATCCTTAGCTATCCACCAACCATCAGGTTTTTTTTCAATTATAAAGAGAATTTCCCCTTTCTTAAAGCAAAACAAAGTAAAAAATTTTAAATAAAGTTCAAAAATCATGAGTATATATCATTACCAATGATTCAAAATATGTGCTGAAAAAAAGGCAAAGTCTTTTCTTAATCTAATCTTTTCCTAAGTTTTACCAAAAGCTTCCCTATTACCCAACCCCTACGTATTCTGCCTAACTCACCTAAACCATAAATGTGACATAATTTAATGAATCATTCCTTCTGGTTACCTAACATACACTTGAACCATTTATGTAAATAGGAACCATTTTTCACAATCATTTTTAAGGCCCCATACTTATTCCAAATATTCGATTACTGCGTAAAATATTTTTGAATTTTTTTTTTTTGAGACACAGTCTCAGCTCACTGCAACCTCCTCCTCCTGGGTTCAAGAGATTCTCCTGCCTCAGCCTCCCAAATAGCTGGGACTACAGGCACGTGCCACCATGTCCAGCTAATTTTCTGAATTTTCAGTAAAGAAAGGATTTCACTGTGTTAGCCAGGATGGTCTCGATCTCCTGACCTCATGATTTGCCCACCTTGGCCTCCCAAAGTGCTGGGACTACAGGTGTGAGCCACCATGCCCAGCATGACTGCTTTAATCTCTCTGGAAAAGTGTCTTTTAGAAGCAGCAAATAAATTCCAAAAAAAAAAAATCAATTCCATTAAACTTAAACCCTATTTTTAACAAAAAACAGCATTTAGTGAATACAATTACCCACTTAATTCACCAGATATGTTTTGAATAACACTCACTCATTTATAAAAATAAAATTCATCTTTGAAGACAAAAGCATTTCCACTACTGAAGACACTAAGAAAGCAAACGCTTTCTTAAAATATACATTATTGTCTAATGTTGATGCCATTGTCCAGGAGAATTTGAAAAAAAAATCTATAAATCAAACCATATAATTAGTTGCATAATATTCTTGTGTATTTTATTATTAATCAGTTACTAAACTTTGAAGTTTAATATAAGAACCAAAATTCATATATTCACTTAAATTCCTTTGGCTTGTTTCTCTAGCAGAAAACACAGGCTCAAATTCCTTTAAAAATCACACTGTATTGTTCCGTCCCATCTGCCACTTATTTACACTCAGTCCAAGCAAGCATGGATGCAAGCCCCTTTCATATCAAGTTAACAGGAAAGACTGCTACAAAACAGCAGGAAGTACTCCCTTCTACCTCCACCTATGGACATTGTCTAACTCACTTGAATGAATTTATACATATGACATTCAATAACAAATTATAAAATTTTACCCCTAAGTTAGGAATTCTCAACATTAAAGCTAGTTTCAAAAATCTTTAGAAGAGATAACTGTAGTAACATAATCTCATATTACTACTGCTTGTAAATCATAATTATTACTTATTTAAACAGATTGTTAAAAAACTTCAAGAATCTGTAATACAGGTATACAGAGTTTCCTTATTCTGTCAGGTATGGACATGAATCCCTAAGTTAGGTATCAGTCTTATTCTACCTACCTTAAATGTAAGATCTCCAACTTGCTGAGCAGTAAAATTTCCAACAGCAATGTATTCTTCACTGGTTGACTGCTTGTGAGATTCATTTTCCTCTTCCTCCTCTGCATCTCCTTCCTCCTCCTCTGCATCTTCTTCCTCCTCTGCATCTTCTTCCTCCTCACCACTGTCTTCACTTTCTTCACTTTCACTTTCTTCTTCTTCAGTAGGTGCCCCAACTCTACAAAAAGTGTTTCTATGGGTAGGCCCACTTGAAATAATATACGAGAACAGATCAACTATGAGTATAACTTCTCTATATACATGAATATCCCATATTTGGAGCTGGCAAATAAAAGAAATAAAGGAAAATACAATGAACAATTTCTACCATCTAACTAAGAAGATGTGCTTGGAGAGACTGAGGTGGAAAGGGAGTTGAGTTATGTATGTAAGATGGCAGAGCATCACTGGACTTGAGGCCAGGAGACTTGAATTCAAATTTTCAATTCATCCATTCAGAAAATGCTCTTGGAGTACTTATGAAGTACTTAGAGCATGGACTCTGCTAAATTTAAATTCTGGCTCTATTCCCTCTTTGCTGGGTGACCTTAGATAGGTTTCTTTTAAGCTTTTCATTTCTCATTGGTAAAGTAGAGATAATCATAGAACCTGCCTTCTAAGGTTGTCATGAATATTAAGATGAGTTATTACTTGCAAGGTGTTTAGAACAATGCTTGCTCATAGCAAGCTTTCCATAAAAGTCAGTTATGATGATGACACTGATGCTGTAGGTCAAGTTCCACATCAGAGAGACACACAGTAGACACAAAGGTAAACCAGACACAATTCCCCATCCTCAAGGAGCTTGCAATGAGACAATCTAGAAAACGGAGAATTATAAAATAGTGCAATAGGTACTAGAGTAGAGGTATATACAGGATACTAAGAAATCAATCACGCAAGAGGGACACCTAACCCAGGCTGCATGAATGGGAATCAGAAAAGGCTTTAATTAGGTCTTGACAGACGATATGGAATTAATCAGTTAAAATGGGAGTAAAAGGAAGGGGAGGGAGAGCAGAAAGGAGGTTCGAGATTAGGAAATGTCAAATAGCTCAAGAATGGTAGGGCAAGGCTTGAGGAAAATGAATGAGAATTGAGGCTGAAAAGAGGTACGAAGAATGCAGCCCAGGTGAGCCTGACCTTTATGGTCATCCCTAAAAATGAGTAGCGGAAGGACATGATATGATTCCGACTTTAGAAAGGAGACAAAGCTACAATGTAGGGAACAGATTAGAAGAAGGGCTAAAGGTGAGGGTGGCTGTTCAAAGTAAGAAGTGACAACAGTATGAACTAAGAAAACAGTATAGGGATAAAGAGAAAGGGGATGATACAGAGGGTGAGGAAGAGAGAAATGCCAAAATAACATTAGCTTGGGCACGTAACTTAATCTTTCTGACTTTTATTTATTCATTCAACATTCAGCAAAGTTTAAATTTTGGGGGGCACCTACTGTATAACAGACATTGGGTGCTTGGGCAATAACAAGGAACAAAGCCAAGATCTTTGCCCTCCTAAAGCTTACATCAGAGAAGCTTATCTTTAAAATGGGACAACAATACTCAGACTAATGCAAATGAACATCATTAACCACAAAACTAGCCAAAATAAATTTTCTCTGGAATAAAAAGGAAAATAAGCTTAACTTTATTTATAATAATTGTAGGACACTCTTGTACCACACTTACCTAACACATAAACCGGGATGTAACAGCCATTTTTATATCACAAGAATTAAAAAATCCATAAAATGTCATATTTATTTTCAGTGTGTCTCTTTCCTTCCTTAGGAGATATTTTGCACATATCTTGTATGGGTCAATTATTCTAAAACTTTGCTGGAATAATGTGAACTTGATATGGTTTTTCTCCTTCATTAATGTAGTGAATTTCAATGATTGATAAGTTAAACCAACTCACATTCTGGAACAAATTCCACTTGGTCATGATGTATTATCCTTTTGAAATGCCTCTAGATTTTACTTACTAATATTTTATACTGAGTTTGTGGATTTGTTCACCTTGTAATTTTCTTCTAGTGTTCTTGTCAGGTTTTGATATCAGTGTTATCGAAAGCTTATAAAATGATTTGTCTATTATTGGTGCATAGGAATGTAAAGTATACAACTTTTGTATTCTCTAGAACGATTCTGTAATATTGGCATTATTTTTTTCTTAAATGTTTACAAAAAATTCACCAATAAAACCACCTGGGAGTTTAATCTGTGGAAAGGTTTTAAATTACAAATTCAATTTCTTTAGTAGACATTTTAGTAGAACTATTAAGATTGTCTATTTATCTTGTGTCCATTTCTGAACATTTCTTTTTTTAAGCCTACAGCACCCAGTATTACCAAGCGGTCTCCGATCCAAGTACCAACCAGGCCCAACCCTGCTTAGCTTCCGAGATCAGACGAGATCGGGCGTATTCAGGGTGGTATGGCCGTAGACCTGCACATTTTCTTTTTAAAGAATCTTATTTTATCTAAATTTCAAACTTATTCACATAAGTTTGTTCATAATATCTTCATAGTATCTTTTTAATTCTTATAGAATCTGTACTGACTTCAGTTTTTTCTTTTTCTCTTTTCTTGATCAATAATGCCAGCTGTTTATTCATTTGATTAATTTCCCCAAAACCAAATTTTGGCTTTGTTGATTTTGCTGACTGTATGTCGGTTTATTGTTCACTATTTTCTGCTTTTATTTTTATTATTTCCTTCCTTCTGCTCTCCTTGGTATTGTTGTCCTTTTTCTGGCCTCTAAAGTTGAATGCTTTACATTCCTATATACCAATAATAGACAACCAGAGAGTGGTTGTCTCTCTGACATGAGTGAACTCCCATTCATAATTGCTACAAAGAGAATAAAACCTAGGAATACAACTTACAAGGGATGTGAAGGACCTCTTCAAGGAGAACTATAAACCACTGTTCAAGGAAGTAAGAGAGGACACAAACAGATGGAAAAATATTCCATGCTCATGGATGGGAAGTATCAATATCGTAAAATGGCATATTGATGAAAGTAATTTATAGATTCAATGCTATCCCCATCAAGCTACCATTAACTTTCTTCACAGAATTAGAAAAAAAACTACTTTAAATTTCATATGGAACCAAAAAAGAGTCCACATAGCCAAGACAATCCTAAGCAAAAAGAACAAAGCTGGAGGCATCACACTACCTGACTTCAAACTATACTATGAGGGTATGGTAACCAAGACAGTATGATACTGGTACCAAAACAATATACAGACCAATGGAACAGAACGGAGGCCTCAGAAATAATCCCACACATCTATAACCATGTGATCTTTGACAAATCTGACAAAAACAAGCAATGGAAAAAGGATTCCCTATTCAATAAATGGTGCTGGGAAAACTGGCCAGACATATACAGAAAACTGAAACTGGACCACTTCCTTACACCTTAAAAAAAAATTAACTCAAGATAGATTAAAGACTTAAACGTAAGACCTAAAACTAAATAAACCCCAGAAGAAAACTTAGGCAATACCATTCAGGACATAGGCATAGGCAAAGACTTCATGACTAAAACACCAAAAGCAATGGCAACAAAGGCCATAAATGACAAATGGTATCTAATTAAACTAAAGAGCTTATGCACAGCAAAAGAAACTAGCATCAGAGTGAACAGACAACCTACAGAATGGGAGATAATTTTTGCAACCTATCCATCTGACAAAGGGCTAATATCCAGAATCTACAAATAACTTTTAAAAATTTGCAAGAAAAAAAACACCAACCCCATCAAAAAATGGGCACAGGATATGAACAGACACTTCTCAAAAGAAGACATTTATGCAGTCAACAAACATATGGAAAAAAAGCTCATTACTGATCATTAAAGAAATGCAAATAAAAACCACAGTGAGATACCATCTCATGCCAGTTAAAATGGCGATCATTAAAAAATCAAGAGACAACAGATGGTGTAGAGGATGTGGAGAAATAGGAACACTTTTATACTATTGGTGTGAGTGTGAATTAGTTCAACCATTGTGGAATACAGTGTGGCGATTCCTCAAGGATCTAGAACCAGAAACATCATTTGACCCAGCAATCCCATTACTGGGAATATACCCAAAGAATTACAAATCATTCTACTATAAAGACACATGCACATGTATGTTTGTTGCAGCACTCTTCACAATAGCGAAGACTTGGAACCAACCCAAATGCCCATCAATGATAGAGTGGATTAAAAAAAGTTGCACATGTACACCATGGAATACTATGCAGCCACTAAAAAGGATGAATTCATGTCCTTTACAGGGACAAGGATGAAGCTGGAAACCACGATTCTCAGCAAACTAGCACAAGAACAGAAAACCAAACATCACATGTTTTTTCTCATAAGTGGGAGGTGAAAAATGCAAACACATAGACACAGAGAAGGGAACAACACTCACGGGGGTCTATCTGGGGGTGGGGGGCTGGGGAGGGATAACATTAGGAGAAATACCTAATGTAGATGACGGGTTGATGGGTGCAGCAAACCACCATGGCACATGTATACCTATGTAACAAACCTGCATATTCTGCACATGTATCCCAGTATAACAATTTTTTAAAAAGATGTGTATAATATGCTTTTTTAAAAAAGAAAAAAAAAAGTTGAATGCTTTAGTAATTGATTTACAACTTTTTTTTTTCATTTTCATTATGCATTTAAAGATATAAATTTCTGGCTAGGTACAGTGGCTCACACCTGTAATCCCAGCACTTTGGGAGGCTGAGGTGGGAGGACTGCATGAACCCTTGAGTTCAACACCAGCCTAAGCAATATAGTGAGACCTTGCCTCTATAAAAATTAAAAAATTAGACAAGCCTGGTGGCACACACTGGTAGTCTCAGCTACTCAGAGAGGTGGAGGTGGGGAAGATCACTTCAGCTCAGGAGGTGGAGGTTGCAGTGAGCCGAGATTGCACCACTGCACCCCAGCCTGGGTGACAGAGAGCCTGTCTCCAAAAGAAACAAACAAAAGATAGAAATTTCCCTCTAAGCACTATGTTGGTTGCAACCCACAGTCATTTTATTATCATTCCAAATAGTTTCTAATTGCCACTGTTATATTTTCTTTGACTCACAGTTTATATAGAAGTGTGTGAAAATTTGCAAACAGTAGTGATTTCTAATTATTTTTTCTGTCATT